TAGCCGAATTTCTGTATAGTGCTTCAGAATTCAGCGATGATACCCACGTAAACATTCAGGAAGTCAGGTTAGGCGAACGCACTTTTTAGATTAATTCATCTTCAGGCAATACAATAATATAGGGGAGGGTGGAGTTAACGAAAGTTTAAGCCACCAATCAGTAGTACTAAAGGAGAATAGAGGAGAAGTGTAAATGGATTAAAGGGGTCAGATTCTGATCCTAATTGGGGAGCAGAGAGGGAAAGGGTGGGGAGAGGAGGGGAGAAGGAGTCCGACATCTAGGTAATGTCGCTCCATCGTCCTTGGCTCACGTTTTGTTGAGAGGCGCGAAGACGCAAGATGTAACCGTCTCGTGACGTGGGGATGCTTGCTGTCGCAGCCTCGTCACTGTTTCGCGGCGTGATAAGAAGCGTGTGGGCGGATGTTTAGTAAGCCTTCGGCCACGGGAGCCTGAGGGCCGCTACAAACGTCTTCTGTGCACATATGATTGGGTTAGTGAGGCGTATGGTTACCGCCTCTGCCGTTGCAAGTATCCGCTGACGCAAATATTTTTAATGTTCCGCTGATACTTTATAGATGACTCTAAACGCTTGGTTGACGTCTACCCGATGGCCGCTGTCAACCAAATGAGCCAGAATCGTACTTGATATTGACTTTTCTGCGCCTCTTTTTATTTCGTCTCTTCACTTAAACTTTTGTTAACTCTACCCTTCCTTATATTACTGTATTGCCTTATGATTAATTAATCTAAAACGTTCGTTCGCCTAGCTTCAGAATTCATTATGATTAACTGTGCCAAAGGCTTTTTCGAGTGCAAGAAGTCAGTTAAGCGATGGGTACGCACATCCCGCTAGGTCACGAAGATCATTTTGACAGTTCTGCGGTGTGGTTGGAAGTCACATTTGGCTTTCCGGCAGAAGTCCGTCTTTCGGATGACCGATAAGACCATTAAGAAGAATGTATGCGAAAATTGTCCTAGAAGTGTTCAACAGCGAGATTCCTTCCTTCTTGAGTAGCAGAATGTTGTCGATCCGCTTGTCAATTTAAGATATAGACGACTGTCGCGTGCTTGAAACCCTATAGAACCTTTCCTTGTCGTCACATTTGAGGGAGTATCTTTTTAAGGTTTCCAGTCGACCGGGGGCCGCCAGCCGGAATCGCGTCGGATCTGGGTACTTTCCGACTTGAGAGCTTTCGCACGGCTTTAATCGCTTCTGCGCGGTAAGTCCGGAATCCACCAAGTTATTTATTTTTACTTGAAGAAGCCGAGGACTGGCGACATCGGAAAGTGTTAACGGTTGATTGTGGACACTTCTAAACTTCTCGGCCGAGTGCTTCGGAAATTGGAATTTGTCCATGAGAACTGTGATTCCAGTGCAGTTAAATTGCAGCG